TCAGATTACTGAGCTTGACCAATGTCCTCAAGGTCAACATTGATTTTGGTGCTCTCCAGGTAATTAATTTTACTTAAATATTTTCAGATTCTTGACTTTACTTAGTATTGCCCTCTCAGTATTCCTTAGTTTCTTGGTTGTCTTCAACAAATTATTATTATTTAAAAAGTAGTTTGTTCAATATTTTGGGTTGTTTTCAGCAGTTGGATGTGTCAGCTTAGTAGTCTACCATATTGCTGGAAATGGAAGTCTCTAGAAATGTGCTTTGAGTTCCTCATCATGCTCATTATTTTGCTAGTCTTGGAAAAGGTAACTTTATGAATGTGTGCTGCTTTCCTTAAGAGACTTCTCATTTTAATATGTTTATTTAATTTGTCTTATTTGAAACCGCATTTGGAGATGATAATAAAATACAGTATTTTTTAGACTTTGTCTATTTATCACCTGTATTTATCTTTGCAAATGTAGCCAACACTGAATGCCTGATATGCAAATGAAATAAGATATGCGAAAGTACTTTGAAAATGGTAAAGCACTGTATAAATGTAATATGTTATTATCTAAATAATTGGAAGTCTTTTTATATTGGATCAGATCATGGATTACTGGTGAGGACTCAATGGAAAAGAAAATTCACAACAAATGCCTGAGTGGAAGCCCCAGAGGCTAACGAGGACCAGGTGTTCCTCACCTGATGCCCAGCACCTTCTGTCACAGGTTTCAAGGAGCTTCTGCAAATCAACTTGAACTAGAGTTTCTTACAAAGCAAGTGGAGGGAGACAGTCAAGCAAAGCATTCCTTGGGGCTGGGCGTGGTGCTCAAGCCTGTAATCCCAGCACTTTGGGAGACTGAGGCAGGTAGATCACCTGAGGTCAGGAGTTTGAAACCAGCCTGGCCAACCTGGTGAAACCCCATCTCTACTAAAAATACAAAATTAGCAGGGTGTGGTGGCACATGTGTGTAGTCCCAGCTACTCAGGAGGCTGAGGCAGGAGAATCGCTTGGACCTGGGAGGTGGAGGCTGCAGTGAACCAAGCGCACTCCAGCCTGGGTGAGACAGAGTGAGACTCTGTCTCAAAAAACAAAAAAAATTCCTCGGAAAATTGAATTGCTGGATTTGATTTCTGTACAGTCATGACTCTGGTCTGTTTAAAAGGCGTTTTACAGTTTGTTGACAGTGATGGGAGGATGTGCTGAGGTGTTATTTGTGGGATTTACAGAGTCTGACATCAGGAACAAAACACGTGTTTCCACATTTTGGACGCTGTTTCTCATTGGCTCCTCCATGGTGGCACAACTACATTTTGTATCTCAGAGGACTGTGAAGTTTGGCATTCTCTGTGCACCTTACTGAACCTCACAGAAAGCACAGGGTTTAGAATGGTCACGAATGCAGGCTTTGGAGGCAGCCACCCCTGGGCTCATTCTCTGGCTCTACCGGCTTGAGCTATATGACCTTGGTGAGTTCCTTCCCCTCTCTGAGCCTGGTTTTCCTCACCTGCAAATGGAGATCGTCATCCTCAGTTCCTGTAGCTTTGGTGAGACTTCAGTGAAACCAGCCACAGAGTGCGTAACTCAGTGATTGGCACATAGGGCCCTTTCAGTAAGAAATGACCCGTCTATCATCCTCATGCTGTCTTCAGGGCAGTGATGCTCAACCTTGGCTGATCATTAGCCTCACCTGGGGACCTTTGAAAAACTGTGGCTCAGGCTCACCCAGAACCATCATGGCAGAATCTCTGGGTGCGCCATCAGGTTGAGACCCACTGTGGGGCCCACGGAGGAGAAGAGCAGGGCTGTCAAGGCTTGTGTGGAGATGCTAACACTCCTACAGGAGCCGCCTCCACTACCCAACCGGCTCGCCCTCCACATGCTGGTCTCATGGGGGCTCCAAGGGGCAGAGCTGCTGGTGGGGGAAAAGCCTAGTGTGCGCCACGGCCTTGAGGTTGCAGGGGCAAGGATGACTTGAGGAAGCAGAGGAGGGCCACGGAGGCTGTAGGGCAGAAGGTGGGTGATACGGTTTGGATATGTGGTCCCCATCAAGATCGCGTGTTGAATTGTAACCTCAATGTTCGAGGTGGGGCCTGGTGGGAGGTGATTGGTGGGAGGTGGGTGGATCCCTCATGTATGGCTTGGGCCGTCCCCTTGGTGATAAGTGAGCTCTCGCTCTCAGTTCACACGAGATTTGGTTGTTTAAAAGGGTGTGGCACCTCCCTACAATCTCTCTCGCTTGCTCTTGCTTTCGCTATGTGACGTGCTTGCTCCCGCTTTGCCTTCTGCCATGACTGGAAGCTTCCTGAGGCCTCCCTAGAAGCCAAGTGGATGCCAGCACCATGCTTCCTGTACAGCCTGCAGAACCGTGAGCCAATGAAACCTCTTTTCTTCATAAATTATCCAGTCTCAGGTATTTCTTTATGGCAATGTAAGAATGGCCTTAATACAGTGGATGAGAGAGGCCCATGGTGAGACAGGAGAGGTCTGTGGGTGCACTGTGGGATTTATGTTCATAGGATCACTCTGGCTTCAATGTGGGAGGAGAGTCTGAAGGGGAAGGAGGCTATTGCTGTGTTCTTGGTGAGACCGACCATGCTGGCTTAGTCTAGGAATCCATGGGGAGAGGAGTGGACAGATGCAAGAGCCATCCTGTGGGTAGAGTGGACAGGACTTGTGGGGAGTTGAAGGGGCCAGTGAGGACTCAGGGAGACAGATGCCATGCTTGGATGTTTGTCTTCTCCAAATCTCATGTTGAAATTTGATCCCCAGCACCACCAGTGGGGCGGTGCTGGGAGGTGGGCCCTCGTGGGAGGGTTTGGGTCACGGAGGCAGATCCCTCATGAACAGCATGGTGCCGTTTTTGTGGAAGTGGATTGGTTTTCAGGGGAATGGATTAGTTTCCATGAGAGTGTGTTGTTACAGAGCCAGGATGCCTCTCAGGTTCTCCCTCTTTACATGTGTCTGCTGCACCTGTGACCTTCTCCACTATGTTTTGACCCAGCACCAGAAACAGCACCAATACTCGCATCGTGCGTCTCGTACAGCCTGCAGAACTGTGAGCTAAGTGAACCTCTTTTCTTTTCTTTTTTTTTTTTCAGATGGGGTTTTGCTCTTGTTGCCCAGGCTGGAGTGCTGTGGCGTGATCTTGGCTCATTGTAACCTCCGCCTCCCCGGTTCAATAGATTCTCCTGTTTCAGCCTCCCGAGTAGCTGGGATTACATGCACCCGCCACCACACCTGGCTATTGTCAAAGCTTCCCAGGTGAGGCTAATTTTTCAAAGCTCCCCAGGTGAGGCTAATTTTTCAAAGCTCCCCAGGTGAGGCTAATGATCAGCCAAGGTTTTTATTTTTTTGTGGAGACAGGGTCTCTCTATGTTGTCCAGGCTGGTCTTGGACTCCTGGCCTCAAGCGATCCTCCTGCCTGGTCCTCCCAAAATGTTGGAATTACAGGCATGAGCTATTGTTCCCAACCTTCCAATTTGTTATTTTTTTCCTAAGCTACTTGTCACCAAGTGCTGTGATGAACACAGCTATCTTCACATGACCACAGGGTCTCAGAGTGTTCAGTCTAACCACTGGAAACAAATATTTTGTTGGACTCACTGCAGAACAGTGGACATAACTGAAAAATCAAGGGCTTTGGCGTAAGACAGGATTGATTGGGTTTGAAACTTGACCTGCTGCGTGACACAGTGTGTGATGTTGGGCAAATTTCTCTAATACTCCGAGCCCTTGAGCTTGATCACTTGTGCAATGTCGCGCTCTGATTAGAACACTCATGTCTATTGGAGAAACCTTGAGTATAGGAAGTCTGAATATATGAGCACATTCTCTCCATGCAGAATTAGTTGAGTCTTCTGCCTCTCCATTAGAATTGTGGTCACTGTGATACAGTGTGAGGGAATGACCTCTGGAGAGGTTAATTGGCTTCTCCAAGACAGAGCACATTTCTGTAGGGCCAGGCTGAGGGGTTTGAGTGAGGAATCCTATAGCTTTGGGCCCTGTGAACCCTCACCAAGCATGTGTGCCCCCAGCAGCAGGCAGGGTGTGTGAGAGCCTCTGTCCCGGGGGCCAACCCTCTAGGGTTTCTGACTGGAGCCCCCCCACCCCTCCCCCGAAGGCTTTTTTCTGGATTGAAGGAATCTGTCCACGGTGAAAGTTTCCTGTAGGCTGACAGAGAAATCCCCTTCCTCGTGGTGCCTGCTGACTTTGAGAAGCAAGCAAGACAGTGGGGAGGAAATGTGGGAAAGGACACAGAGGAGTGTGGGGTCTGGGCAGAGCAGACACTCTGGGGCTGATGGTGACAAAAGCCAACAGGTGGAAGGAGTGCGTGGAGAGAAGGATGTGTAAGAGGAGACCGCAGGGTGTCCGGGGTCAGGGGCTGCCACAAAAATAACCTGTATCCGGACCAGGGATGGCCAGGAGTCAGTTTTCCAGATTTCACAGCAGCCTCCTGCCCTGGTGGCAGCCCCCAGGGCCACCTCTCCTGTTTATTTTGTACTGTAATGACATGCAATCAAAGAGCTCTATGGGTCCGGCACCTTAGCAGAAAAGTAGAGTTGGGAGATGGACTGTGCAGGAATCATAGGAACAAAGCTGCTTTCAGGCCAGTGCTAGCATCTATGCTTCATAACCTCCGAGAATGAAAAACAAACACCCTCAGTTGTTTAAGAGCTATGTTGCATGACTAAGGCAGTGATTTACAAATGGGGATGAAACTTCACTACTAATGGGCTTCAGCGACTTCAATGGACCAAGAAAAGAAGACTTGTTCCCAAGGTCCGCATGGCTGCTGGGGAGGGCTATTTATTATCATCTAAATCACAGTGACCCTGTGAAGCTGTCCCGGGCGAAGTTGTGTAGACTTGGTTGCTTGTCGGCTGCTGTAGGATCTGGCTGGCTTGCCACCCTCGTCCAAAGATTCTAATTCATGACAGGGCTGTCGAGGTCTAGAGGCTGCTCTGTAGGGTCCCTGTGGGCTCTCCACAGCTCTCTGGTATTTTTCCACAGTTTCCTGAAATTGGATTCTCCCAAGGCTTTTTCTGGCCTTCCATGATAACAACTAAAGCAACATGCTTTCCATCCTTGTCATGAGAGGGGATCGTCTTGGTGAGGAACTTGTTTCTGGTTTTCAGCTGACATCTTCCTTTCCTCTCCATTTCATTCCCGTTACTTCTATAGTATGGATACTGCCTGAGCCCTAGTCAAATAGTTCCTCTCTCTCTCTGTGGCCAGCTCCTGCTCACACGCACAGCTCTGGCGTGTGATATCCATCCAGCTCTGGCAATGGATTCCCCCGCAAGACTGTCACTTACTCATTAATCATCTTTGTTGCTTTTCTCTGAATTTTCTCTGAGTTGATCTCTCGTTTCCTGGTCAGAGGAACACAGAACAGCTGCTGCTTCACAGGCTTAGTACAGAAGAGGGCTCTTCTGTCTGGTCACAAAATCGTCCTTCTCCTCCCAAGCACATCGTGGTGACTGCACCCGCGGCTGCGTGGAAATGCTATCAGCTTCCAAGGAGCTCGGTGTAAGCTGGGTCTGTCCGGAACTCCTTCCAAGCAAAGGTTTTTACTTTTTTTCAGAATTAAAAAGGGCTTTATTATGAAAAGAAGGTCCCTCACCTTATAAAGCAGGCTCCTAACAGGGACGAAGGAAGTGCTGTTTGGAGAAGGAGAAAGTATTCAGAGGACCTGCGCTCCTTCTGCAGGAGACGTGGAGTACGCCTGCCACCCGCCTCCAAGTCGGGACCCCGGGGCGGGAGACTCACGGGTCCAGGATAGCGGGGGACGGAGAGAGTATAGGGCCTCCCTCTACTCCTTACAGTTTTCAAGTGAACAAACAGAGGCCCGACTCATTGGCATAGTTTACCTTTGGGGCAGGAGCCTGGTATAATAAAGCAATCAGGGCCCGAGAATCAAAGGGCTGGTGTCATCCACTGGCTATAAGTTCCTGGCATGTGCTTTAACTTCTTTCCACCTTAACAAATTTCAGTGAAGATGAAGTAATAATAATAACAATAACAGCAATAATGCCAGTGAAAAAGAAGCGTCCACTCCCATCTGTCTTCGGTTTGGCGTGACCTAAAGGGTGCCCACCTGGCCCCAAAGAACAGGAATGGGAGCTCTTGCTCCCATCCTTGCTGGGTGTCCAGGATTCTAATAAGACTTCCAAGAGTCTGGGATGCTGTGGGGTGGCTGAGCGATTTGCACTGATGTTGTTGGGGGTACTCAAAGCACTGGCAGGATGTTGATCCTACTCGGGGGGAGACACTGATGGTCCTGCTCCACGGGGAACAGAAAAGTCTGCCAGTGAGACCTCACGCCACAGCCCTGGAGGAGTTCCAACTGGGGGCAACCCTTGCCTCTGCAAGCAGGCTTCCCTTTCTGTGCAAGATGTGGTACTCTGGTCCCATCCACCCTTCGGGCACTCAACTCCCTGGCGTTGCTGCTTGTCACCTGGCACTGGCTCCAATACTTAGGGGCCCCCAACCATCTATAGGTTCCCAGACCTGGTGACAGAGTCCCTTTAACACATCTGAGTTCATTCCCTCTTCAGACTGGACCCTCTTTCCACAAAAGTCCTGCTCCCACCAAAGTGGCCTCTATGCCCGTAGGTCCCCAAAGACTTGTTTGTCTTCCTGGAGGACAAAGAGGGCCTGGTCTGCAGCAAGGTCAGGGAGGGACAGCGTTTTCATCCCTTCCAAGTGCCTCTCCTTCCCCAAGGAGAGACAGAGAGCTCTAGCTAAGTGTGTGCACTGTGTGAGTCACACCAGGCTGGGCTATCCTGACCTCACATGGTTTTTGGGAGAATCCACTGAGACCATGTAGGTAAAAATGCCCCTCAAGCATGAAAATGTGATACAAATATGAGCTGCTATTGTTTCTTCAGTATGAAAACACTTTTTAAAAAATTTGAATTATATTTATTTTTTGAGACAATGTTTCACTCTTGTCACCCAGGCTGGAGTGCAATGGCGCAATCTCGGCTCACTGCAACCTCCGTCTCCCAGGTTCAAGCAATTCTGCCTCAGCCTCCTGAGTAGCTGGGATTACAGGTGCCCACCACCATGCCCAGCTAATTTTTTGGTGTTTTTAGTAGAGATGGGATTTTGCCATATGGTCAGGCTGGTCTCGAACTCCTGACCTCAGGTGATCCTCCTGCCTCGGCCTCCCAAAGTGCTGGGATTGCAGGCATGAACCACCGCACCTGGCCCCTCTTTTTATTTATTTATTTAGAGACAAGGTCTTGCTCTGTCACCTAGGCTGGAATGTAGTGGTGGGATCAGAGCTCACTGCAGCCTCAAACTCTTGAGCTCAGGTGATTCTCCCCCATCTGTCACCCCCCCAGCCTCCCAAGTAGCTGGGACCACAGGCATGTATGCACCACCATTCCCTGTTATTGTTTTAATTAGTTTTTATAGAGATGGGGGTGGTCTTTCTATAGTCCAGGCTGGTCTTGAGCTCCTGACCTTAAGTGATCCTCTCCCTTGACCTCCCAAAGTGTTGGGATTATAGGCATGAGCCATTGGGCTTGGCCTGAAAACACTTAAAGGGAGAGTGGCCCAGAGCTCCATCCCCTGCAAAGAATTGCTGCAGCCAAAACTATCCTTGCATTTGCTAGGCATTTGTAGGGCTGGTAACAATAGAATTGGGACCTACCTTTAAGAAGCAGCATGTGTGATAAAACAGGAAAAGTGTTATCCTTTCAAAGTGAATACTGCAGGACATTGCCGCTCAATCCTCTTTTCTCCCTTGCCCGGGCGTGGGGATGCATGCCATCAGTCTCATGATAACGGATTATCGTCCTGAATAATACAAGATTCTCTGAACATTGCTTTCATGCTGTGATGTAATTGCATTGTTTAATGTAGGGGGGCCTTCTTTTTTGTACTTGGAAATCTTTGCTATTTAGAGGAGTAGACCTTTTTTTATGGCATTGTTTATAGTGGAATTTGATTTACAGGACAGAAAAAAAGATTTGTGTGTAAACTATCATTTGTCTTTTTTTATTATCTCTATTTTCTCCTCTCTGTGATTTTAAAAGATTTGTCTTGCAATACCTGACTCAGGTCTCACAACCAGTCATTTCAGAGCTATGCTCAACTGGCATCTCCCAAACATGCCCTTTCTTCTAGATAGTTTGCTTCTCTCTGGTTATGGGATTAGTGTCTAGACTGGGGATTCATGGTGGCTTTTCCTTGCCACATACTCCATCCTCTTTCCATCCACCGCCTCTCATGCCCAATTCTCACAGCCATTCCTTGAATAAATACGTTCTGTCTCTACAGCAGATTCTTTATCCCCTTGATGTCCAAGGAAACTGATTCACCACACTGAGATTTCTGTCTGGGAACTGCTTCCAGACAACCCAAGCCATGTTCTAGCCTGCCGGTGGGATCTGGGTTTGGGTCTGGTCCTTCCCTTTCTTTGTTTTGCTTCATTTGATCTCCCTTTGGGATGCAGTCTCTGCCTCTTTCTGTCCCATGATTGCATACAAGCCTATGCCCAGCCTTAGCTATAATCCAAGAGAAACTCTTGGTCAGGGCGATGCAAAGCTTCTAAAACTTGATGGGAGGTGCTCAGGCACATGTAACTCTTCTCTTGAATCAAGCATGCCCAGGCCAAAGGGCGAATATGTGGGTGTAAAGTCATGTGGTTTCCCGTCTCAAGTTAATGTTATTCAACAATCTTGGTGGCATTTTTAGGGGCTTTGATGGTGGAAAGAGAAGCATTTTTTCCAATTTAGGAAAATAACCACTCAGTTCTGCCTGGAATTAAGTTTCCTTGTTCAATTATCTTTAATCAAATGGCATTGTGAACGAGCATTCTGTGAACTTGTTTAATTCTTCTGTTGTGTTTTTGTGGGTTTTTCCAATATTCAGAAAAATATTTCATCCTTTTAAGAAGTCCTGACAAGAAGTTGTAGGGAATTAACAGGGACCAGCTTGTAAAATGGACATGGACCATTCATCATGGGGGAGGGTGCTGTTGACAGATTTAGGAGCCCTGCTGTAAAGAGAGAACCACTGTGTTCTCCATTTTGTGGAGTCAAGATCTTATATCAAGACTTGATATATACTAGAGCAGCTGGGAGTTCAGAGTCCTCTCTCCAGGGTAGGGGGAGATAGTGACAGCAAGACATTCATAGGTCAACAGACAAATATTAAGGAGACAATTCATTCTTTCCACAGGCATCTAGTAGCACGCTTGGGAAGAAGAACTTAACCCTTTCTCAGGCAGTACGGTGGGACAGAGCCTCGACATTCTTTGATTCTTTTTCTGTTAAGGCATGGCGTCTGTGTTCCTCCTTTTGCCAGGCTTGAGACTACTTTGACCTGTAAATTGTCGGGGAAGTGACGTTGTATGCCTTCTGAAGCTGGGTCTTGAAAGGCAGTGCAGATTCTTCCACGTTTGCTGGGACACTTGCTCTTGGGTCTCTGTAACCAAGTAAGAAGTTTGACTGCCCTGAGGTGGCCATGCTGTCAGGGAGCCAAGCCACATGGGGAGGCCATGTGGAGACCTCTGGTCAGCATTCCCCGTCTTTGAGTCAGCTGAGCTCTGATGCCAGACACAGGAGTGAACAAGCACTCGGATGATTCCAAACCCTAGCTGCCGAGTCACCCCAGCCTTTGAGCCTTCCCTGTTGAGGCCCCAGACATTGTAGAGCAGAGACAAGGCATTTTTTCTGCACCTTGTCCAAATTTCTGACCCACAGAATTTGTGTGCATAGTCAAATGGCTGCGGCAAGCCATTAAGTTTTAGGGTAATTTGTTTTGCTGCAATAGAAACTGAAAAAGGAACCTATGAATAATGGAAAAATAAAGCAGATTAAGGAGTTAGAGAGTGAGAGCGGTGGGTTTGGGGTCGGGGGTAGACATTTTGGATAGGGTGTCAGAAGATTTCTCTGAGGAGCTGACATTTGAGCAGAGTGTTGAACGATGTCAGCATGCAGACATGCAAACATCTGAGGGAACATGTCCTGGTCACAGGGAAGAGCAAATGTAAACGCTCTGAGATGGGAGTGAAGTTACTCAAGGGATAGCAAGGTGGCCTATGTGCCTAGAGCTCCTGGAGTGAGGTGGAGAGTGATAGGAGATGAGGTGTGAGAGGGAGACACATGTAGGGCTTTATTGGTCAAGATAAAGGATTTGGATTTTGTTAAAAGCCAATGTGAAGTTTTGAATAGGGGTATATTCTCCTCACTGACTCCCTCATTGATTTTACCCAGGCTCCATATGCTGATCTTTTCCAAATATGTATTTCTAACCCAGACCTCAGCTTCAAACTCCAGATTCTTTATATAGCTGCTTACTCAGCTCTCCATATGGATTATTAATAGACATTTAAAACATAGTATGCACAAACTACTAGCTTATTCTTCACTCCCAAACCACTGCCTCCCACAGTCTACCCAATAGAATCAATGGCAACTTCATCCTAGCTGTTCAGGTCTTCTGACATCCCATGTTTGATCGACCAGAAAGTCCAGTTGGCTCTGCCTCCTATCAGTTCTCCCTGCTTCCATCCTCACCCTCTTTCCATCTGTTCTCCTGGCACAAAGTGTG